TACTCATTGTGATGGGCTGGCTCTTGACTTAGTAATCACGAACGAGCAGTTCTCGATATTGAAATCAGTTTATGCAACTGCCGAGTGATAAATAGCACTTGTTTGATAGTTGTAATAATCTAATGTCCGAACTCGCTGTTTTAAAAGGAAGAAAATTGGATAGGAGTTACGGATTGATATGCTTAACGATGGATAACAGACATGACATGATGACCAGGTCTCACGGAGGTAGTTCCTAACCCCTTCCTCTTTGTTTCAGATCCGGCGCATCAAGGCGGCGGAGGGGGCGGGGGAAGGCGCGGTGCAGCAGGGCGAGGTGTCCTCCTCCAAACCCACACTCCTCCCTAGCCAGCGACTCGGCCCGCTACTTCTCGAGGTGAGGACCACTGGCCGGCCAGCCCTCGACGACGATGGGAGTGGCTTGCTAAGAGTTCGTCGGGGGTGTTAGTTTTGTGGGTCCTGGGCGCATGGGGTCGATTTCTGTGGGTCTGGCGTAAGTGGCGCCGATTGCTAATGCAACATGCTTGATATATTCAGCTTTCTAGTGTGACTTCCGAATATCGTTTCTGGTTTTGTGTACAAGAAACATGATTGTAAATGGAAGCTGTTATCCTCGTGTGCCAATGGAATTTCGTGTAGATATCATTTATACGTTATTTACTAATTATCTATCCGAAAATAGGCATTTCCCTTCACTTTCCTCTCATGGGCGTGGTTGCTGAAGTACGTTCAGCCCAGCTGTAGTCTGACACGTGGGGTTCACCATACCTGGGCCTCGACGCATGTCCCGTACAGTTTCCGGTTTCACCTGCCGTCCGCTTTCATTATGATTAAACCCTTAAACCCCGACAGAAGCAAAAGGGGGGAAGGGGGGAGGAGGGGAGGTCGAGCTCAGGGAGGATTGGATACGTTCCCTCCCCTGTGTGTCTTGCCTTTTTCGGTGCACGTGGTAGCAGTAGTGCGCGCTGGAGGATTCGGGTGTGCGCCGTCTAGTGCGTGGATGCTTTAAAGCTGTGTCCTCTCAGCCTCTGTGGGAGGGAGAGGGGGAGAAAGGGAGAAGGAAGAGGGGAAGGAGAGAGGGAGGGAAGAGGGGAGGAGAGAGGGAGAAGGGAAGAGGGGAGGAGAGAGGGAGAAGGGAGAGGGGAGGAGAGAGGGAAGGGAAGAGGGAAGGAGAGAGGAGAAGAGAGGGGAGAGGAGAGGGAGAAGGAAGAGGAGGGAGAGGGAGAAGGGAGAAGAGGAGGAGAGAGGGAGAAGGGAAAGGAAGAGAGAGAAGGGAAGAGGGGAGGAGAGAGGGAGAAGGGAGAGGGGAGAGGAGAAAGGGAGAAAGGGAGAGAAGGAGAAGG